ACGAAGTTGTTTTGAAAACTGTTTCTGAAAAGTGTTTGTAAAATTTGTTTGTTTGAGCAAGTACCTAGGAACTAATCTACCTACTCGAAAAAAGTCTGTTCATTTTCCTTTAGACATCGTTATCCTATTATTAAGGAATATGTAGCACAATCGTTGGAGTTTTAAGGGACGTTCGAAGGGACAAGTACGGTCACAAAAACAATGTTAGGAAATTTTAGTAATCATCCTAAAGCCTTAAAGATCTTTTTCCGAGGCAACATCTGAATGGGTCATTTTAGATCTTTTGGGACTAGAGGACGACCACTAACATTCCCTATACTTTATGACCGTTTACCGAAGGCAACCGGAGTGGAGTAAACCCTAGGAGTGAGCATGTGCAAGTGTATTTTTTCAGTTAATTATCTTTGCACAATTAGGGTTTTCTACTGTTTTAATTTTAATTTGTCTTTCCATACAATCCTATACATACATCTAAGCAGTTTATAGTTTGCGGAAATTAAAATGCGAGAAATTAAAGTCCTAGCTATTACAAGGCTTTCACAGATACATAATTATTTTGACTGTAAATAAAGATGCAAAACTTTAAAATCCTAATTACTATTACAAACTCGGAGCAGTTACAATAATAATAAAAAAAGGCAAATTAAAGGCGCGCGTGGCAAATTAAATGCGAGAAATAATTGAAAAACCTAAAATCTAATTGAGAAAATATTTAGGTTATTTTTTGAGAAAAATTAGGCTACGTACAAATTTAACCCTAATTCTATTTATTTTAAATTATAATATAAAGGAATTAAATTACCCTAATTTAATTAAACTAATTAATTAATAAAATATTTTTATGAAAAAATGATTTTTGATGTTTTTATGATTTTCTGATTTTCTGATTAAATAGAAAAAACATGATTTTTGGTGTTATTTGAAAAAAGAAATAATTAATAAATAATAAAAAAAAGATTGAAATAAAAAAGAATAGAATTTGGGCCTGTATAATAAGCAGTTAGGGGGTGCGCTTCCAAATTCTGGTTAGGCCTAAAGATGCTGAGCCCATTCCTGCGCCTGATTCTGTGTAGCCACGTTTGGAGGATGCACCATGGTCTTTCCTTGGTTTGAGCGTTGGATCTGTGTTGGTAATGATCCAGTGGCTGAATTGGAGACCACACGGTAGGCGCCTGGAACGTGTATACATGGAATCTGCACATGAACATTAAGAAAATCAAGAAAACGCAGGGACCTGGGATTGAACCCAGGTCCTCCCCACTATCCAACGCGCGCTTCACCACTAGGCTGTATTATTCAATTGTTATTATAATAAGATCAAATTATAATATATAAAACAAAGTGAATAGGCTGGACAAAATAAAAAAATGCGCGGATCATTCAAATGGACCAGTGGGGTGGTGACAAGTCATTGTCTTCTTCCCTGTCCGTCGTCTTAGGTACCAGACTTATACCTACGGACAAAACTCCATAGCTATAAACCTGCAAGTTTCAAAAATTCATAAGACGTATGATAAATTAATTCTAGCTATACCAATTAACTCGTCTTGATCTCACGAGTATCATGGCATTATTTTCTTGGTCCAATTTTACCTGTACAGAGAAGCCCTAAAACGGCTTCTTAAACCCTAGCCATGGCAATTACCGAACAGTCATCAAAACTCAAAATTAATTGAACCAAAACATTCCAAATGATGATACAAATATAATGCTATGCTTAAAAGTGGTTAATCATGCGTAAATTGTAATATGAAAATCAAACTGATATGTGCAAATCGTGGGTTTACCAGGAGCGATTATGGGCTTGGAAAGGCTTGCAAATGATCGTATTAGCTTCAGGAGATGTCCATGAAGCGATTAGAAGCTTTGAATGGCCTTGAATCATCCCCTAGGTTAGAAATCAGATCCACACTTTTTATCCAATTTTTGAGTTTTCTTCCTCAGCTCTCACGATTGCAACCCTTGTTCTTTTGCCTTGTTTATGTTCAGTATATATAGTGTGATGAATTAGGGCAACAAAAATAAACTTGAATCTTTTACAATCATGGAAATTGAATGTAATTTGTTTGTTATATGATATCTTTCCAAAATGATCCTAATCATGCTATTTTTGCCTCAATTTGCCTTGATTCGATTTGATCTGATTAGGCCAGCTTAATTAGATTTGATTCTAACAAAAATCAGATCAAAAAAACAATCTCTTATATTTTTTGCCATTTATTTGATTTAATTTGAATTTTAAATAATAAAAATCAAAATAAAATAAATAAATAGAGAAAATTATATATGGATGCTGATTTGGGTCGTGGACCATGTCTTCAACAAGATGCAATCATGAAAAGCTAGGCCCATTTGACAAAAAATACACTTTTGAGCACATTTGACTTTTGGCAATTTTTCAAAAATGGCCAACTTTGACAATTCATATCTCTTCCAATTTTAACCCTAGAGAGGTGTTCTTGGACTTTTTAGAAAGTTTAGGATGTCCTCTAAACCACACTTTTAGTTTCATCTCAATTGGATCTTCCATGTTCATGTAAGAAGCTTTGACCCAAAAGGTGTTTTTGTTAACTTTTCAAAAGGACCTATAATGTAGAAATTCATATATTTTTATGAGTGTATTTTTTGAACTTGAGGGCTGAAGATGAATTGTAGGTAATTGGATTCCCTTCAAATGAGCCTTGGATGAGAAATTTTTGATAAAGTATGAGAGAGTTATGCTTGGTCAAAGTTTGGTTGACTTTTCTTGAGAAACCCTAATTTAACAACTTTTGGGTTTTGATGGATTAGGAGCATTCCTCGAGGAATTATGATCAACCTTTGATCAAATGATGAATATCACTTCAAAATATTGATGTTGACCAAAAAACTTGAAGTTTGACTGTATGTGGGCCATAGTTGACTTTTAACCTAATACAGTTGATTTTCAAGCATCTAAGCAGTTGACTGAGCAAACTTCTTGTGCAAGGCATGAAACTTGGCATGGATGATCTTGAGGACATATTAGGACTATGGAGAGCATATGAGACCTTTGGAGCTCACCCATCTTGATGAAAATGGAAATCCTAGTTGGAGGTTCATTGCTTTAGGAGAGAGTTTGTTTGGTCAACTCTTGGGCATCCTTGAGCAAGTTGAGGGTCTTAATGGGCATATGTTGAGTAAAATGGGAGGGTAAATTTTGGGGTATAACAATATCAAATAATAATAAATAAATAACTAATAAAATAACTAGTAAATAAAATCAGGGTGTTATACCTCCTATCCGCGTCTTCACAACATCTTGTAAAACCCAAATTACATATGCAAAATAAATTATATATAGATGAATCTAGTACTCGGTGCAAGGATAGTTTTGACCAAACAAACACACAACGATTAAAATACAAATACATACTCAAAACTACTTAAGTATATTGCATAATTCACCATATAACATATCAGGTTTGAAGCATCCATTAAGAAAATTTTAGATAGCGTGAAACTTGAATTTGTAAGTTGGTGTTTCTGGTATCACCATATTTGTCACGGTAGTCCCTCCATTGAAGATAAGTTTTAGTGGGTTAGAACAGACTTTGAAAGGGCCATCATTAACAATCGGATCTCCATTATAAAGAAAATAAGTTTCATTCTCTTTTAGTAGTTCAATCCAATCTTTAAAGTCTCGACTCCTAGTGGTGACTTGAATTTGATCGTCCTGTGAAATATATGAGCAAACAATGTTCAGAAAAATATATAAATGTAAGAATGTTAGAAAAAAAAATCATATCTCTCCATCCTGTATGACCAATTCAAGGTGTTGTTGGCCAATTTTCTCCTTAACAACTCACAAGTCAACAACCCTATTATGCATCTTCTACACTTGGTTTCCCTTGACCCGATCCTTAATGAGAATTGGAGCCCTTGACATTGTTCTTGTCCTAGTCTGTCAAGTGTAACAGGATATGCATTACAAAACGACAAAGTTAAGGACACTGAAAATGTACTACATCATCATAAAATATTTGATGAAATAGAAATATGTAGTGCCATTGAGTACAAATTCCCATTGATTAGTAACAATTTTTTCATGATGAGCTTATAGCTTATTTTATTAGTTTATAACTTATTTTTCAGACGTTATTTCAAATAACATTTTAGTTTATAATTTATTATTTTTCTTTCATTTTTACCCTTATCATTTTATCTAAAATCCACTACTACCCTTTATAATTTATTTAAATTTAAAATAAAATAATTATATATTAAATGTTTTTTATGTCATTTTAATTTATCAATTAATTAAATCGTTAATTTTGTCAAACATTTCAATTAAATTATTAACTATAAATCACTAGACATCAACTATCCGTCATTAATCATCCTTAATAAAGTATCAACTATCAACTAACTTATCACATAACGATTGTTTTTACCGAAAACTTAGGTCTCCTTGTTTTTAAATTTAAATGAAAAGAAAAAATACATGTTTTGAAAAGAAAATCAAAGAGCTCCAATTTTCCATTTCTCATTGAAAACACAATCGATTGCAACTGCAACTTTGAGTTCTCATCTTCGTAGTTAGCACTCAGCACTAGAACAAAATAAAAATCGGAGCAATGAAAGCTCCAATGACGTACCGTGGACAACAAACACTTCAACATGTCCGAAGCACTGTAAACCACCAAACCGCCTGTTCTACCCGGTTCCTTGACAGGACGGTTGCATGGAATATTTAGATCAAATGACACGCAAAACGCTTCAATAAAATGTTTTTTTATGCAGTTTACGTGTTTGTTATAATGCGTGGCTGGGCCATACCATCTATTACTATTAGTATAATATATCCATTTTTCGTCTGTCTTTTTCCTATTTATAAATATATGACATCGTTGACTTCAATTATTATTTTTTTCTCTATGGAGGATTTTACTTTATCAAATTCTATTCATTCTTATCTTAGTTTCTGAAATTCATGAATTATTGACATATCTCAACTTCACTTTTTCCTTGTTAACATTAAGATGAACACTTTATCTCAATTTCTCTTCCTTTCACTCACATTCATTTGGTTCATATCTCTAACAGCTTTTGCTGCTACTAAAATCCACCCCGATGAAAGTATGATCTGTATTTATAGTACCATTGTTCCCTTTTATCTTGTATTTTTTTTTTGCTCTTTTGAAATTTTATATATTTAAGTTTTGAATTGTATATATAGGGAAAGCTCTTGAAGATATAGGTAAATCACTTGGTAAGAAAGATTGGAACTTTGATATTGACCCCTGCAGCAACAAGCCTAATTGGGTTACGCCTCCTATACCCAAAGTCTTAGATAACAATGTCACCTGTGATTGCTCTGTTGCTGGTGATAACTTCTGCCATGTTATTTGGATGTAAGTCTCTTTTTCTTTGAACTAGCCCTTTGCTATTATATCACCACTTCTAATCAATATCGTTTTTAATCTTTAATTTTATCTATACTGGTACTCAAGTATTCATATTCATAGAGTTTGGAGTTGACATTGTTTATGTGTGTATACATGAGTGAGATTGGTTGCTACCGTGTAACAAAAGAGTTAATTGGGTTAAATGGGAGTGACCGTGTATGGCAAGAGAGGTTGATCGATCAGACTTTAAAAACATATAGGTTGGTGCTTTGAGTCAATGGTTCATCATATTGGGGATGGGGTAGAGTCTTGTTTTTGGGGTGATTGTTGTGTAAGTGGAGTCGAGCTTAAAGTGAGGTTTGTTAGACTTTTTTATTTATCTCTGGACAAAGAAGTAAAGTTGGTTGATTTAAGAGATTGTTGATGGTTGGTGGGAGAAAGAGTTAAGATGGAGATAAACTATGTTTCAGTGGGAAGAGGATTTGTTGTCTCAATTAATGGTAGAAATAGTCCGCTGCAGTCAGAGTAGAAGTTAGTGATAGAGTTGCCTGGAAGGAGGATAGTTCGGAGGTGTACTCAGTGATGTCGGTGTATGAGAACTTGGTGCGATGGTGCGTAATGAGATATAGTATCAAATTTAGAATAAATAATATTGTTGTTGTATTATTATGAGGTCACTGGACCTGTATATATACATGAGCTTGTAGTCTATTTTAGGGAATTGGACAGCTAGTTCTAAGGAAACAAATCCTTGTGATTATGGGATTGATCCTAAATAAATAAACCTAATAATTAGCAAGATATACAGCTGTTACAGAATTACTGCAAATATAAACCTTCCTAAAATACATAAAGACAATAACTGTTTTGACACTCCCCCTCAAGCTGGTGAATAGGTGTTTTCCATTCCCAGCTTGGATATAATTCTTTCAAAGTTACTGCAGTTCAGCCCCTTGGTGAGTATGTCTGCAAGTTGATTCTGAGTGGATACATATGGTGTGCAAATCATGCCACTGTCTAGTTTTTCCTTGATAAAGTGTCTGTCAACCTCGATATGTTTAGTTCTATCATGCTGCACCGGGTTGTGGGCTATACTAATTACAGATTTGTTGTCACAATATAACCTCATAGGTTCATCCCATCTTATCTTCAAGTCTTCCAATATAATCTTCAACCATAGAAGTTCACATATTCCTTGGGCCATTGCTCGAAATTCTGCTTCTGCGCTCGATCTAGCTACTACACTCTGTTTTTTGCTCTTCCAAGTCACGAGGTTTCCACCAAGGAAGGTGCAGTATCCAGTAGTTGATCTCCTATCTACCACTGACCCCGCATAGTCCGCATCCGTATATGCTTCAAGACTTACACTCTTGTTTCGTTTGAACAAAATCCCTCTTCCTGGGGTCCCTTTCAAATACTGGACAATTCTAAGAGCAGCTTGTAAATGTGCTTCCTTTGGTTGGTGCATAAATTGGCTGACTAGACTTACAGCAAAAGCAATGTCTGGTCTAGTGTGAGATAAATAAATAAGTCTTCCCACAAGTCTTTGATACATTTCCTTGTCCACTGCAATATCCTCCTCCGCACTTCCCAGCTTTATATTTGGATCAACTGGGGTACTTGCTGGTCTACAGGCTGTCTTACCTGTTTCTTTAAGCAAGTCAGTAATATACTTTTGTTGAGATATGAAGATTCCTTTCTTGGAATGGGCCACTTCAATTCCCAAAAAATATTTAAGTCTCCCTAATGTCTTGATCTCGAATTCCGTGGCAAGGCATTCACCTAACATTTGTTGCTCCTTTTTGTCATCCCCACTTACTATAATATCATCTACGTACACCAATAAAATTGTTACTCCCCCTGAAACTGAATGTTTGATAAATAATGTGTGATCCCCTTGGCTCTGTTTGTAGCCCAGACCTAACATAACCTTGGTGAATCTTCCAAACCACGCTCTTGGGGATTGTTTCAGCCCATATAGAGCCTTTCTTAGCTTACAAACAGTTCCAGCAGCAACCTGTCCATTGTAACCAGGGGGCAACTCTATGTATATTTCTTCTTCAAGGTCTCCATGTAAAAAAGCATTCTTCACATCGAACTGTTGCAGGTCCCAACCATAATTTGCTGCTAATGACAATATTACTCTGACCGTGTTCATCTTAGCAACCGGGGAAAATGTTTCCAAGTAATCAATTCCATAGGTTTGAGTGAAGCCTTTGGCCACTAATCTTGCCTTGTAACGTTCAATGGTCCCATCAGCCCTGTACTTTACTGTATATACCCACTTGCATCCTACTGTTTTTTTTCCAATTGGTAGGGTGACAAGTTCCCATGTTCTATTCTTGCTTAACGCCTCCATTTCCACATTCATGGCTTGTTTCCATTTCATATTAGATAATGCTTCAGATACAGAGGAAGGTGTGTGTGTGGAGTTGAGGTTTGTGAGGAAGGTTTTATGGGTAGGTGAGAATTTTTCAAAGGATAAGAAATTTGATAGTGGGTAAAGTGGTTGTTGGGTGCATGCTCTAGTTCCCTTTCTAAGGGCAATGGGTAGGTCTAGATTTTGGTCCATCTGTGCTTCTAAATTTTCAAAAACAAACTCATTAGAATCATTGGAATTTATAGGATTCGGAAGTGTTACCTCATGCAGTGATGATGGGCTGGACTCTTGGACATTGCCAGATTCTAGAATGGCCTTTTCTCTCCTTGAATATACCAGATTTTTCCCAAATTTTCCACCATTAGGTGCAGGTTCAGGTGCAGGTCTTGCTGTTGGTTCAGGTACAGGTGTAGGTGCAGGTTCTGCTGTTGGTTCAAGTGCAGGTCCTGCTGTTGGTTCAAGTGCAGGTCCTGCTGTTGGTTCAAGTGCAGGTCCTGCTGTTTTCTCAGTTTCAGGGACAGCAATGCCATTTGTCCCAATTTCAGGTCCAAATGTCATATTTGGAAGCATGAGAGTCTCATCTTCCTCTCTTACATTCTCCCCCTGAAGATGAGGCTGCCCAAAGTAGCTTTCTCGTTCGTTGAAGGTGACATCTCTTGACACATAGAATTTTTTTGATAGGGGGTGAAAACATTTGTATCCTTTTTGTGTGGTAGAGTACCCTAAGAATACACATTTGACAGCCCTAGGGTCCAATTTCCTCCTTTCGTTACTATGAACATGCACAAAGGATACACACCCAAATATTCTAGGTTGGAGTTTATTTGTAGGATCCAAGTGTGGGTAGAATGAGGATAGGACTTCCATGGGGCTTTTTGAGTCTAAGATTTTAGTGGGCAACCTATTGATGAGATAGGTGGCAGTAAGAAGGGCTTCCCCCCAAAATCTCTTAGGAACATGGTTTTGAAAAAGTAGAGCTCTAGTTTGATCTAATAGGTGCCCATTTTTCCTTTCTGCAATCCCATTCTGTTGGGGTGTGTTTACACATGAGGACTCATGGATTATCCCTTCCTTTTGGCAAAAAGAGTTTAGTACAAGGTTAAAATAATCCTTGGCATTATCAGACCTAATTCTTTTGATACCGACCCCAAATTGATTTTTAATCATTGAGACAAACTGAAAAAACACAGAGCTAACTTCAGATTTTTGTTTTAAAAGAAAAACCCAAGTCACCCGGGTACAATCATCTATGAAGGTTAAAAACCATTTAGCACCTGAGATATTAGGAACGTAAGCAGGACCCCATACATCAGTGTGAACAAGAAAAAATGGGCAAGGACTCATCTTATTGCTAATGGGAAAAGGTACACGCTTGTGTTTAGCAAACTCACACACATCACAGTGGAGACTCTCCACATTTAAATTTTTAAACAAGAAAGGGAAAAGCACTTTTACAACTCGAAATGAAGGGTGTCCTAGCCGGCAATGGTATAATTGAACTTTCTCTATGTTGGTCATGGTGGATTCAGATATGAGAGAGCGGCTATTGGTAGGCAGATTAGGATCCTCCATGTAGTATAGGCCATTCCATTCTCTAGCATGTCCAATCGTCTTCCCCGAGTTCTTGTCCTGCAGTATACAAGAGTTGTTATGAAAAACAGCATTACAGGAGAGATCTTTTGTGAGTTTTTGTATAGAAATCAGATTGGTGGATAATTTAGGGACATGAAGGACATTTTTTAATGTTATGGATGGGTTTATTTGGACCTCTCCTTGTCCTGCTGCAGTCATAAGAGTTCCATCTGCTGTGGAAATTTTCTTGCTGCTAGGACATGGGGAATATGTGGAGAAATATTTGGGTAGAGGGGTCATATGGTCAGTGGCTCCAGAGTCTAATATCCAGTAATGTGTAAATGGTGTATCTGAAACATTAAGCCCAAAAGAAAGTGGAAACTTACCAGAATATGTTAAGGAGCATGTACCTGTAGGCTTCTCCAATTTACTAAGGAAGGATCTTACCCGCTCTATCTCTTCATGATTCAGCTGGCCATATCCTTCACTTTGTCCATGACTGATGTGTGCTTGCCCTTGCCCTCCTTTTTTGGGAGGACCTCCTTTCGGCCCCCATTCTCGGCTTGGGGGTTTCCCATGTAATTTCCAGCACTTCTCCCTTGTGTGACGCGGCTTGTTACAGTGGGTACACCAGATATCCTCATGTTTTTTCTCCATGTTGGGAACCCCGCTTCTCCTTTGGTTAGCAACCATGATTGTTCCTCCTTCAGCTATCATTGCCGAACTTTCAGTTATTGAGGTCTCGAGCATCAATCCTCTTCTGCTTTCTTCACTCCGGATAATGGCTACCACTTCATTAAGCCCTGGGACTTTCTCTTTTCCCAGGATTTGGATTCGGACCTGGTCATATTCAGGATTTAGGCCTACCAAAAAATCATAGACTCTATCTTGTTCAATATACTCCTTAAGGATTGCTGAGTCTTCTGAACATTTTGCTTTTATAACTCGATAGTGGTCCAATTCCATCCATAGAGACTTGAGTTGATTAGCATATTCTGTAACAGATCTGCTTCCCTGTTTGGCAGCCACAGTTTTCACCTTTACATCATAAATTTGGGCAGCATCCTTGGCCTTAGAATACGTTTGTTCTACTGCCTCCCAAATTTCCTTTGCTGATTTAAGAAACATGCAGGTATCACTAATTTCTGGGACCATTGAATTCCACAGCCACGCCATGATCATGGAGTCTTTTTCTTCCCATGATTTGAAGTTGGGATTTGTTTCATCAGGTGCACTATCAGTTAGGTGACTGACCTTTCCTTTTCCTTTCAAGATGGTCCTAATAAGTTGAGACCATTTGAGAAAATTCTTCCCATTTAACCGATAAGCAGAATGAACATTCTGCAATTCTCCGGCAGTCTGGGATCTGTCCCCAGTTTCCAGAATAGGATCCACAATCTCAGCCATGACCAGGTGCGATCAAGGTAGAGAAGGTTGCGCTGCAATGAAATCGGCGACAAGGTATAAAGGTAGTGCAGCAATGAAGGCTGCAACTTAGGGTTTACAAGCACGGTCAGAGACTCCCAAGGATCGGGAGCTCTGATACCATATCAAATTTAGAATAAATAATATTGTTGTTGTATTATTATGAGGTCACTGGACCTGTATATATACGTGAGCTTGTAGTCTATTTTAGGGAATTGGACAGCTAGTTCTAAGGAAACAAATCCTTGTGATTATGGGATTGATCCTAAATAAATAAACCTAATAATTAGCAAGATATACAGCTGTTACAGAATTACTGCAAATATAAACCTTCCTAAAATACATAACTGTTTTGACATATAGGATGCTTTCAACATTAAAGTTTGGCATAAATTAGTTTCATTCAAGGCTGAGATGTGAACTTGTCAACCAATTCAAAACTGCATCCCAACTAAAGATAATTTGTTGTATCGTGGGATTATTGGAAGTGATCACAAATTATGTATAGTTGGGCGCGTATATGCTGAGTCTGTGAGTCAAGTAATTTTTTAATGTCCAGTATTTTCAAAAGTTTGGTATACAATAGCAAAGTGGTTGGGGTTGTCCGTGGTCTTTCAAAACTATGGAAGTCAACATCGTTATTCCTTTTTTGGTTTAATTCACGGTGGGAGAATCATGGCATCGAAATTCTGTACACTTTAGTTTGCATGCATTTGGTCATTTATGAAAAGCAAGAAATTTTGGCATTTTACAAAGGAGGCTATCATTGAACAGTCTAAAATTCTGTATCGGAATTGGCTTAAAACATACCAAAGAGGCTTTGGGTATTCCATTAGTCGGTGGGTTTCAATTCCTCTTGATTGTTCAGGTATCATATAAAGGAATGTTACTTTTTTCTGTTAAAATGGTATTAGCACGGACTACAATATGAGCATTGGGAATTGGTTGAGGGCTGCTTGTATGCTTTGGGTCTGTTATCTTTTTACCAGCAGCTCTGCTATCATAGTTAGCTGCTTGAACTGGTTTTGTGCAATGGTGGTTTTGGCTTCGCGTCATAATTACTCTCATCATGTTATTCCGCTGTTTGTGGCTGGTCTGAATTTTTTGAGGTGCATTCTTCTATTGTTTCAGCAGTTGGAATTGGGGTGTTGTTATGGCCTGTTTGTTTTGCTTAGTGCAGTAGTAGTGTTTGGGGCGTGGCCTGTTACCGCATTGGGCTGGTGCTTGAGTGCAATTTTCGCTGCATGATACATACTGTTAAAATAGAAAGAATAGAGATGATAGATTGAATCTCATTGAGCAAAGAAATGTATTAGAATTTATTACTTTGTTTTGCTTATTATTTATGTTTAACTTATTTATGAAAAAATGAACACACAGAAGTTTGAAAGGGCAAAATCTCCAAGGCACTCTCCCACCGGAACTGAGCAGGTTACGTTACCTTCAAATGATGTATGTAGTTCCTAAACTTCCCATCACATCCAAAATAACAATATTATTGAACTTGTTTTATATTTTCACTCACTTGTATCTATATATTACTTTGCATGACAACTCTTTCTCTCCCTCTATTACAGTGACCTCGCTCGCAATAACTTGAATGGTACAATTCCTAAAGAATGGGGCTCCTTGACGAATATTCGTAAACTGTATGATTCGTCTCTTATTTTTCTTTTCTGGTTTTTAATCATTGATTGTTTGATATATTGTAAAATCTTGATATATGGTCTTATTTACATTCTTTATAGAACTTCACATTCATTTTCTACGTACAACAATAAGCTAATGAAAACATGTTTCATGATCATCATATAGGGCTCTCCTCTCAAATCGATTAACCGGTTCAATACCAGTGGAGATTGCTAACATATCTCATCTCCAAGAATTGTGAGCTTCTCATTACCCAACTTATCAGGGATTTGTACGTAAACATGTATGCGTTCAACTCAAAGTGTTTAAGTAGAACTTAACTTTAACTTGAAATGGATAGGGAGTTATATAACAATCAATTTTCTGGAAATCTTCCTCCTGGACTTGGGCATCTAACCCAAATTCGAACAATGTAAGCACTTCATTTATATTCCCTTAATTGATGTTCCCCCTGAAATATGAAAGCTCAATGTTTAAAATCCACTTTGATTTCCATTGCATTGAATCATAATTTACTGTTTTGTTTTACACTTATATATAGGCGACTTTCCTCTAATAATTTTACTGGAGAACTACCTGTGACATTCGCCAAGCTCACTACATTGACGGAATTGTAAGCTTCAAATTTTTGTAGTGGTGTTTATTGATTACTAAATTCTTTTTCACGATACTTCAAATTATCATATCCTCTCTCAATATAGCCGAATTGAGGACAACCAATTCTCTGGAAAGATACCCGATTATATTCAGAACTGGACAAGTATTAATAAGATGTACGCACTTTTTTATTATAATTTTTTCCTCAACCTTAGATGTTTTTGTATTGCTTGGCTTTTTAAAAGAATGATCAATGTTTACTTTACTTTTGACAGAATGATTCAAGGAAGTGGATTAAGCGGGCCTATTCCTTCTGGAATTTCACTTTTGAGGAACTTATCTGATTTGTATGTATGATAAAGCAAGGGTTGAAATTTAACTTTCATTTTACTTATGTTTACTTACTTAACGCTGATTTCAATATGATACTCAGGAGAATTAGTGATTTGAAAGGATCTGAATATGCACCATTGCCACAACTTAAAAATCTGACATTGTTAAACAACCTGTGAGTTGATTCTTCTACCTCTTTCAGAAATAGATAAGAAACACAGCTGCAAGAAAGTCACTCATAATATATCTTTGTCTATCTTATTGTTTCACAGGATTCTGAGGAATAGCAACATCAATGGAACTCTACCTGAAAATCTTAAGACATTGAAATCATTAAAAATCTTGTAATGCTTGCTCGCTATATTATGTTCTAGGAATGTTTTTCTAAGACAATTTTTCTCTGTACTTTTTTAACTCCTTTTCAACATGATATCTCTTTCAGAGACCTTAGCTTTAACAACTTCAGTGGAACAATTCCGAAGACCTATGCTGACATGAACAGTGTGAAATATATGTATGAAATTCATCATATTTTCTTAGGGCAATTTGTTTTGGGGGTAAATATTAAGCTTTGTATAATAATTATTGATATCTTGGTATTCTTTTATGACAGATTTTTAACTGGAAACCTTCTGACTGGACCAGTGCCGGCTTGGAAAAAGAATGTCAGTGTGTGAGTTATCTTTCTAATACTACTTGTACTTAAGTATGGACACCTCTAAACAAAGGTGTGTCTGGTGTCCGAACGTGTTAGTGTCCGACACTGACACATATGATTATGTTTCAGACTTTCACATTATTATCATACTCTGAATCAAATTTTATGACTTATATATAGAGACCTTTCATACAATAACTTCAGTATCAGCCAAGGGAGTCAGATATGTCAAGATGAAAATGTGTAAGAATCCTTGCATTTCTGTGCATTTGTTTGCAAACTTTAGAACCTTCCTGAGACACCATCTTCTCTAATATACATCTCAGGAACTTGTTTTCAACCTCATGGGCACGCAATGACATGTAAGTTTGGTATTATAAAACTAAAACATGCATATAATAGCCTTTCCATTTCCCTCTTATGATGTGATGAATCTTATATTATTTTACTGATCATGCTAACTTATTCTATTCCTTCCATAATTTTCTCAGAGGAAATTCTTCGTGTTTGAGCTTCGAATGTCCCAAACGTGAGTTTCTTTATGGTGAAATTTACAATCGGCAGCTAAGATCCAACTATTGTTTTTTATTTTTATTTTTTTTCTTTTAAAAACTGAGATACAAGAGGAGAGGGGACCAAAGACAACCAAACCTATTACCAAAAGCTTGTTCTAATATTCTTAATGCTCTTGTTCTAATGAGTTTGTTCTAATATTTAACCCAGCCTCAAGCTCACTCTATATAAATTGTGGCGGAAATCAAACAAGAGTCAATGGAAAAAGTTATGACGGTGATTCGGATTCATCTGGACCAGCTAGATTTCATACCAGTCCAACAGGAAACTGGTCATTTAGCACCACTGGTGTATTCATTGAAAGTGATAATCTTGGAGAAACTTATTCCCCAAAAAATATCTCTAAACTTACTATGGAAGACTCTGAATTGTACACCAATGCACGTGTTTCTCCTATTTCTTTGACTTATTATGGATTTTGCCTGGCTAATGGAAGCTACACAGTAAATCTACATTTTGCTGAAATAATGATCCCAGATGATCAAACTTACGGTAGTAATGGAAGGCGTATATTTGATATCTACCTTCAGGTACATGGTTTAACATTTTTCTTTCAATAGTCATTTGGTGTTTTATAAAAAGAAAATTAAGGTCATTAACCAAGTGATCACTAGGGCTCTATTTGATAAGAAATAGCAAATAAGCTAGCTGATTGTAATCATATTATGAAGCATAAATGGTGCGATTGAAATGTTGCAGGGAAGTGCAGTGCAAAAGGACTTCAACATTGCCAAAGAAGCAGGAGGAGTTGGTAAGAAAATCATAAAACAGTTCAATGATGTTGTTGTTACAAGTAATACCTTGGAGATCCGTTTGTATTGGGCTGGAAAAGGGACACAGTCTCTCCCAAATAAATCAGTTTACGGTCCTCTTATATCCGCTATATCTGTGGAATCATCTGGTGAGTTATACTTTGAACGCTCCTATTCTTATCTTGTCCCATGTTATTATGATCTGATATTTAAAACTCTTGTTAATGATCAAGCAGACTCTGCACCTGGAATCATATCTGCAGGAGCTGCAGTTGGAATTGTGGTTGCAGCAACAATTATCATGTTATCATTCTAGCTAGTATTTATAAAATAACATAAAACGATGACAATCATGTTCATAGACTTTGATGAATATCAAAGGTGGTGTTACACCTAGTATTGGCAAAAGCTATTAACAAAAGTAGCATCCCTCAAAGGGGCATTATACTCTGAAGCAGAAGATAAACTACATAGTTATAACAAAAAAATAAAACTATACTAAAAACTAGTAATATACTTGTGCGTCTGCACAGATGAGTTCATTCATATCTTAGATCATTCGATAAGACATAGTTGTAGCTTTAGTTGTAGCTGATATATAATTGTTATTATAAAATCATTAATAATTGAATTTTTTTTTACACAAATAATTGAAAATATTTAAAAATAAATATATAGCAAATCACTAACGTGATAAATTCAATATATCTAATAATTACAAATATTTACAAATTGTAACACTTCGTACATATATGTCTATAATAATATGCATTGATGTTATAAATGGTACATGAAAGATACAAGTAACTGGAAAAAGACAAGAAATTAGATACTGTATACAATACAACTCCAAGGCTGAGCGCATACAATAAACTTGTCTTCAATTGTTGCACAACGGAAAGATAACATCTACAAAGGTCTTCCTGTCATCTGCTCGTCTGCAGTCTTTCAAACCGACTATCTAGCAATCTTCTACCTTAAACCTAGTCCTAAAAAACAATAATTGGATTGGGGTGAGATTTCTAAATCTCTGTGAGTCTCCCTATCCTACGGGTTCACTCGGTTCTACAGGGTCATGCATAAAAGAATCCACCGAGGATCTGTGATTTATCTACAAGTCGAGTACAAACACACATACGAGGAAGATCATCATTGAAGGTCCCTTGACCAATCAATGAGATCACATAAATAGCACACAGAACACACAAAAACACACAACATGATGTACACATCTGTGTCAGAAGTTGCAAGTGCTATCACTTCACAGTGAAGACACGAGCCCACCAACGAAGGACTAGTAAGAATACCTACGTGGTACTACTAGGATGAGTCACGAAGTGATGTAGCCTACGTGGCATCACGACCCCACCGAACCAACATTGTCGATTGTTTAGTGCTTAAGGAGATGCCTCTAACCGTGACACGATGAGTATACACCAGATCATTTCCATCGAGTACGAACATTTCCCCCCAATATGCAATGACTATATACCAAATCATTCCCATTGCAATACCAGCACATTCTACACCGACCAATGAGTATACACCAAATCATCCCCATTGAGAGCGGTGATAATGCTCGGCCGTCTATTCCTACCAATGAGTATATACTAGATCATTCTCATGGGGGGAGGACAACAAGATGCACAGATGGTACGACAAGCACGGGTGTGCGCCAGGATGACCACCCATGTGCATGTTCAGGATTGCACAATATTGTGATGAATATACACCAGATCATTCCCATCAAGTATCGACACAGAAAACACGATAAAGCCATAGAGAATCAACATGTCTAGAAATCAAACCAGAATAACAGAATCATCACATAATGCATTTCAATGTAAACATGGATTAACATACCGAATATCCATGAATATATCAAAGAAGCATACATATCAGAAATCATACGGTAACACCACAAGGCAACAGAGAAGGCACCCCGTTCCCGAACTTGAAACGAATCTGCACTATAGGGAAAGTCATATAGTTCTGTCAGACCATGTTCGCTAGACAAGCTGATAGAGAAGCCTCGATTCTCTACGCGAGCTAGTAGCGAGCTCCAACGAATGAAGTCAGTAGCTTCAGTCAATTCTAGAAGGCACAGTTCGCTACGCGAGCCTCCAACGAGTGCCCAATTCGCTAAGCGAACTGGTAGCGAATAATTAATTAATTCTTTTTCTTTAGTCCCAGACCTTCTCTATGCGAACTCAGTAGCGAAAGCTACTTCTCTAAGTGAAACATAGTTTTCTAAGCGAACACAGTTAAACAGATCTTCATATTAAGCCAGACAGTTCGCTACGCGAACACAGAGTTCGCTAAGCGAACTTCTCTGCAAACAGAAAAAATCAAAAAACGCAGAAGTAGGATTTTGAGTTCCCAAATCCCAAAATCTCACATGCAATCAAGGATATCCATCATACAGGTCAGATTAAAGATGCATGTATATGTTATTACCAGAATATATTCAGAATCATGCATGAACATAGATTATTATGGACATCTTGGCTCAAAACCCTTATCCCAATATAATCCCCACAACATATTTTCCTGAAGTCTCTAATCTAATGAGACTCATCTTGCATCAATTGGAGGGTAGAAGGATGAATATGTTGCCCTTGCACTCCCATCTTGATCATAAATTCACCTCCAAGCCCAACAATCCCATAACACCATATCTCTCATTTTCAGCAAGAAATCCAAAATTTTCAATGCGTTTTTCTCCTTCAATACAAAACTTATGAACACGAAATCATATATCAAAATAAAGAAAATTTCGTGTAGATTTAAGAACTACAAGTGATTCTTAAATCGGAGTTACAAGTAGAGAGTTATGACCGGATTAGTGAGAAGTGTCCAAAGTGTGCGAAAATAGATTTTGGAGATGTATTTTTCATCTTCTCTTCACTTTTTCATCCCTTCATTAATAAAATTCTGATTTGGAATAGAGTGAGAATGTTGTCTCTACCAAACAACCCTTAAGACCACATGCAGTTATGTTTAGTGCCCAAATTTCCCTCCAACCATGCTCATATTACTAGTTTGACACTTGCTTCATTTCTAACTAATATCTTTAGATTCCACTAATCCACTTAATCTCTTACTCTACATACACATTCTCATACTAATAAAATAGGGATGTTACATCCTCCCCCTCTTAAATAGAATTCTCCCTCGAATTCTTTCCAATCGACATGGCAACTGGTTCCCCACCTCTTCTTCTAACGAGGGGATGAAATGTTCCCAGCATTCCTACTTCGGTTAAACCTTGCTACCTCGTCTGAAAGTTGTTCCATCCAAGAAAACATAATTGACTAGGAACCTCAGTCCTTACGCAAAACATTTGTCCCGACTCTCCATCTTGACATACTTGGGAAATAATCAGTTCAAGTCCCTAATCTTTACTCATTCACACCGAAATCGGGTAGCCTCAGAATTCTTGGCAATCCATTATGTCTAGATATTCGCTATCCCTAATGTTTGCCAAGGTCATCCTTGCTCAACACATGCCACTTGATTCCATACAACACCACATAGATGTTTGTTGAACCCATTGGTCCTAACTTCTAATTCACATATGCTCCAATTGACTTGTTCCAAGTCTACCTTCTTTCAGTCTTGATGGTAACACCACCACTGATAACCTTAAGAGCGTACAAATTGGGCTACCACATTCTTTATACCTGACAACTTGACAGAATATTTCATCGACGAAGGGTGAATCCTAACGGTTAACCTGCGCTCATCAACAAAGTATTTATACACGCTCCCAAGTGTATAAGACATAGCCATGATAATTAACATCAAGAAAATATAATTGGCACAAAGCCACAACAATCGGTACAAGACCCGACACAACAACCACAAACAATCGACACAAGGCCCGGCACAACGACCACAAACAATCTGCAGATTTGTACCCACATATGAGGAGTCCAGAGGTAAGTTCTCTCTACTACGTAGTGTACACATTCACATCCTCGGTGAGTAACCAAGTGCATCGCGTCAAGAGACTTGTACTAGCACACAAATGATGAAACAGATAAATCCTAAATAGAAGTGCATCCGTGAGGAGTATACACAGTGACATTCCCTACGAGACAATTTTCCTCCCCACCACACCAAGCACACAATGTTAACAACTGCTAGTAGAATTCCACTTTTCGGACCCACACAAGTGCATTACAATGGTAACTCAAATTTGTATGACATACCAAAACATCGATGAGATCACATGGCACATCGCGTTGGTATAATGCACAGAGCGGTCATAAGTGAATTACTATACGTCAATCGGGTCTACTCCGATTCAAGCATATGTGGCATAAAATCACATCAAGCCACAGAAGGCAGACACATCTGGACATTCAAACAGAATAAACGGCAAACACAATGTCCATACATTCATCCAAACACAATACGCGCTAGAGTCTTAAACACACCCAACAAATATTTCTTCTCGAGGTTCACAAACCCTATAATCAGGTCACTAGTGGTTCCCTCAGTCTAGTTAGGTCCCTTGAACGCAACTGGGTCACATGCTTCGGTTCCAGAACATCTAAAGTTGGACACTCACAGAATAGGAATTCACCTTACTCTATCGACTTCCACATCGTACAATCGCTACGATTACACTGCCAACTTTTCCCATAGTTCCTTTCTAATCTTCCAACTTCATGCTCTTAGTGTGACAACACCTCTATTAACTCAGGTGACTCAATCGATGTAATAATCCTTTCACGGTCACACTTCATCCATGTAGTCGTTTAATGCCGCTCGTGGTGCCCCAAATTGACTTTGGGATCTATGACTAACCCTATAACCAATACAAGTCCTTTCAACGTATTTTTTTCTCACTCACACGCGTTTCATAAATTCTCTAGAATGTCACCCATCATAAAACTACTCCAAGTCAAGCACACTTAACTGTGGAGTTCCTATGGGACAGGTCACCGAAGAAAAGGTATATCTTGTTATTATAGGTAGTACTTACCAATCCTTACACGCTTTTCTTTAAACATGCAGTTCCATACCTGCACAACCTCAGGATTCCTCTCACTCTTATGCAAATTCAGTTTCCAAATTGAAGCTGCTAGGAGCATCTCATTACCACGCCTCGCTGTTTTTGAACTGTCACTAAACTGAATTCCTCGGTTGCATTCCTCAATGCAATGTTTCTAATGTCTAGAGTGCAACCACAATGCAAGGAATCATACTTCGTGCCTCAAACATTTTCCTTTAAAATTTCTCGGCACCCCAAAACTGATGTGTCTTTGCCTACCGAGACTGACATTGCTTCACTTTTGGGAATCTTCA